CCACGGGTTCGACGCAAAAAGCCATCGTTTCTCGCTCGTATGACTCAGCGGTGGAAAGCTATCAATTTGTTCGAGCTTTTTGATGATACAACGGACTCTTTGTGCGAACTTTTTGAATAACTATATCTCATATGCTTACAATTACTATCTCCTCTATTATACCCGAGCCAAAAACATTGCTTTTTTATCATTGTATATAGTTAATATTCCGTTAATCAACAATATCTTTCTTCAGAAACCTACCATAAATACTAAGCACATCACGCTGATAATACGTGTTAATATCATACAGTTGTTTGTTAATGTGACGAAATATTTCAGAAGATGTGTGAATGCTGAATAAGTGCTACATAAGAGAACATACTTTACAGAAGAGAGAATATTAACGATGGAAATGATTGATTAAATCGAATAGAAACGGATTGTTCTGTATGCTCTTTTCGTACTCAATTTGACTTTAAAGCCTCCATGCTTTGTTGCACGAAAAACTACAGTATGAAGAGTGAGTCTGTCACAACAACAGACATTTTTGGTCATCGAGAATGAAGTTCAAAGCTTGTCCTTCTATTCTAAGAGAGGAGAAGTTTAATTTTCTTAATTTGTCAGCAAGCTCATCGAGTTATATACGTACAAGTCATAAAGTTAAAACCCATTTATTTTTTTTATGACTAATATAATGAATATTCTACGAATTCGATCAAAATTCAGTTTGTCCATAGGCGTTAAAATTAAATGCAAATATGTTCAACGAACATGATAAAAAAAAAAATCTTCTTTTTTTTCAATAGATTATTTCAATTTCTTTGTTCTTTTAAACATTAAATTAAACAAGAAGAAGGAATAGAAAGATAAAATGAAGGCATACAGTTGTATATATTGATGTTAATAAATAACCCGTATTATATGGTTTTCGATGAGGATGTTTATTAATACCTAGTCCAGGTATTATATAATCCGGACGTGATACTTTCCATTTAGGAGTTATTATTTTTGTACGATTTTTTGGTGCTACCGTTGTATTTAAAGGTGGTGTTGTTAATGGTAAACATGAAACAGTATAATTTGATGTTAAACGTTTAACAAGTGAAACAATAGGAAATTTTCCTTGATTACATGATTGACCTGAACTATCATCAAAATTAACTGGATAAATAAAAATACCACTAAGACGTTGTTCTTTTGCATAATTAATCTATAATAAGAGATTTTTTTTAGAGAACAAATGATTCTTTGGAATTTTTATTTACTTTTAATTCCATACTTTGAAGATCATCATAACCAATAACTTCATCACCTATTGAAAAATAAAGGAATTATATATTATGAAGAAAAAAAAACCAACACAATTCTTATAAATGATGTACCTTTAATCATAATAGGTACTTTACGATCGTCGAGAAAAACTCGTTGCCAACCAGACATCATATTTCGACAAAGCTAATAATATATATAAATATTAAATAGAATTTTCATTTTGAATTCTTCTTTTTTACTTCAGTATAAGGCACACTGCCTACAAATGTAGCTGGACTACCAAGATCATGTAAATCACTAGTTAGACGAAACTTTTTTCCAAATGCTGGAAGGCCAACTAATAATTTCGATGGTTCAATACCAGAATTAACAATATATTTAATTGCTGAATCCTATTATTCCAATATTGATTACCATGAAATAATAAATAAAACAAAAGCAAACCTGATTAAAATCTTTATCATCATTTTCAGCATTTATGGCTTGCATCAAAGAACTATGATGTTCAGCAATTTTATCTCGTGAACCTCGATAATCATAGGTTTGGACATTAAGCCAATCAGCACATCTATACAAACATATAGAAACTTTCTTTTTTTAAAAAAAAAGCGAAATATGTATGTCGAACTTAGCAAGTTCTTGTAAATCAAAACGTGATTCAAGTTGTTTTTTTATGCCTGATACAGTAACTGTTAGTAATAAACGTGATCGTCCTGTTCTACCAGCTTCTTCAGCATATTCTTCTTGAAGATCCTAATGATCAATAGCATTATTATATATATTTTTGTTTTCTTTAAAATTTGGTAAATATTACTTTACAAAGTTTGGATAATTTTTTTTTATCTTCAATTAATTGTGGGTTAGGTGTTGATGGTGGTCCTAATGCTTCACTTGGTTCAAAATTTAAATCAATTCCATCAAATTCATGTGTTCGTAAAAGTTTTGTCGTTGAAATAACGAATTTTTGACGATATTCATCTTTTGACATCATTTCATTAGCTCGTCTAATAGCATAATCTTGACCACCAATGGCTAACAAAACTTTTAATTGAGGATCTTTATTATTTTTAAAATCTTTCAACGGATTATTCCATACACCTATGAAAAAAAAAACCTATATTGGTTGATTGCATCAATTCTTAAAAAAATATCAGTTACCAGTAAGTGTATTGTCATCTTCAATGCGTGCAAATGTATATACGATATGTGTACAATTTTTTGCATCTGGATGAATACCAGTCCATGATGAAAAATAACACATAATTTTAAATTCTCCACCACAATCACTATTAACTAATGCTAGAACCATACTTAATAAGAATAATAGTATTAAACTCATCGTTGACTACTTGTCTATGTGCGTATCAGTCATTGAATAATAAGAAAAACGAATAAAAAGAATAGACGCTATAATCATCAATCGTCGTCATATGAAGTCTTTTTCGGACAATAAAAGTTACGACGATTTTGTGTCCGATGTATTAAATAAATATAGGCTCAAACGATTAGTTCGCTTGTGCTTTTCGGATACAATAGTACATATTGATGTTATACTATTGACACACAGTAATAGCTCTATTTTTTGTTCATTAATCAAACAAAAGATTTTTTCGAATACGATGAAGAATATTTCTTATGTAGAGACATAAATAAGTGAAAAATAGATTTATTTATCATTTGTTTTAATAATTACGATAGTAAATTTTATGAAACATTATTAAAACAATTTTGTTAGCAATGCAATTAATAACATAACATAGAAAATATACGATTTTTCTTTTAAATTAAGTTTTACTAAAAATTAATAGATTCAATAGTATCTTATTAATAACGATATAGGATAGTAATTATTAACTGTTTTTGAATACTATAGTCTCGATAATATTGCAGCATAAATAGTTATTTAATTACTTTTTTTTATTGAACAAACAGAGTGACAACATCATCTGCTAAGATATATTATTATCTAACACACAGTTTTTGGATATAATATCCTTTATTTGAACTTTGATTGCAATTACATATACCACATAACTCATGCTATCATATGAGCATACATTTCGAATGAATCGCATTTGAATTATTTATGATTTGAACTTATTGAAAGACATTGACTATGAGATATGATAGGGTGTCAGTGGACGTAGAATATGATTTCGGCACTTCTCTCTTTGCTCCAGTAGTATGACAGTGATTTATAATAGTATTTAGATGCAGATGCTAAGTTTATCACTTGGGTGTGGGTGTAGGTGTGGACGTGAATATCACTGCTTTCTTTACTTACACCCAATCCTATTCGTCGATAGCGTACATCTTCATAATTAAATTGTTGCTCATATGCTTTAAATTCATATATTCATCTTTTATTTTAGTACGAAAAATAATTTGAATGGACCAGTTTATCGTATATCTAATGATGATATTTAATTTCTCTATGCTGAATGCTATGAAGCAATCATGGAATGGTATTCAGTGGGAATCCGATAATAAACCATCATATTCAGTTATTGAATATATGTCTCTGACATCACTTGACATCATAGGTGTGAATATGGAGTACGATACACAGTTTTTGCTCGAAATAAAGACACATTGACCCCGTCTAATAGAACTAAAATTTCGATATGGTGAATTCAATATTATAACAAGGAGCTTTAGAAGGGATGCAACGCGGCGCAATTGTGCTAAGCGTTTAATGTCTGTCTAACTCTTCGTGATCATACAAAATGCATTCTGCATGAGTCAGGGCTCATATTTTACGATTGAGAAATGGGTGAGCTTAAAATTTAGAGCTGGTATTTTGATGACGACCAGAAATGTCAGTGGAAGACTTATGAATGTATATCTTTCAGTTGTTAAAACTGTGAAACTCGATAGAAACAAACGACATAGACCAATTTTAGTACAATAAAAATTGATAAAAAAAAAGCAGTTCATCGTCTTTGTTGCCACCAATATGTAATGATGTTAAAACCAATGTATTTTTCAATGATATTCAAACGTTGGGTTATTCTTCTTCACTCAAATCGGTTGAAAGAACCTTTTGTTCGATGTGATGCGACTCAATGATCAGGCATGAATGAAGGAATGAGTATCGGTGTGGTATGAGCCTTCTCTAGACCTACACCTAAATCAATGACGTTTTATTTCTTTTTTTCTGTACTGATATAAATCGCAAGGAGTTTTATTAGCTTTCAGATACCAAAATAATACAACAAAAAAGTACGACGTGAGTTCGCTCGTCCTGTCTCTATATAAATATATTGCTTTATGTCTGTTAGTTAACATTATCTGCAATAAAATTATGTAACGGGGTACTTTCAGTGGATATCAAAATGCATGAGATAAGAACGACAAAAAAGACATTATATAACCTATTGTATGAAGGACAAAACATTCTTGACTATAATTTATTGATTAAAAGAAACGATACATTCAAAACAAGGTTTTACCGTTTTTCTTCTATGCAGAAGCGTTTGTAAAGACGCTAGTCTATTCAATGATCATGATTTCAACCACAAGTACAAAATGTTATACTGGATGTGACAGATTTCTCATTGATTTTTCTGCACTATTCACCAAAACGTTTCGCTTAGCGATACGTAGACGTGGCCAAATGATTGTAGAAATTCTTCTTGCTTATGCATTCATGGCTCTTCTAGTTGGTTTGCGCTACCTTCTCGATCGTGCCTATTATCCTGCTTTTCAACTCTCGCCCTTTCGTCCACATGACAACATGATCTGGAATGATACAATGGCAAATACGACGTATTATTATCCGTGTAAGTTACAAGACTTTCTATAAACTTAGTGTTATTTTTGCCAACACATTTATTGCAGCAAATCCATGTACGGATACCATTGTGACGAATGCAATCAATGCTCTAGCAATGAATCGACCCGGTTTTCCTGATCATGGTAAGTGAAAAATCTTTCAAAAGCAATTATTTCTATTTTTTAATGCTGTTCATCATTGAAAAATTAACATTTCAAAATTTAGTCGATATTATTCCAAATCCGAATATATCGTCATTGTCCAATACGACATTAGAATCCCTCTATGCCTATATCTATTTTACCAATCTTGATTCCTGTACTAGTCCAACAACAATGCCAAATCAAGTTAATTATACACTGCGCTTGCAAGAGTAAGTTCGATATCTTTTGGCTCTGCCTGTTTTTCTTCTTTTTTCTCGATTCTAGAAACGATCCATACTACTATCGTGCTCAACAAGTAAAATTAAACGAAAACGACATATTTTGGAAACGTTCTCCAGAAGATTTTTGTCAAGGTACGAAATAGGAATATAATTTGTTGTATTGATTAGTAGTATTTCCGTGCTTAGGGAATACAACTTTTGCAAATTATACCACACAATTTTTGAGTATTCAATATTTTGTTGATCTATCCATCATTCAATATGTAACGAGCATAACACCAAATTCATCTAGTGTACAGTAGTTTTATCAAATGATCTCTTCTGTTTTGTTAAACCATAATTAAATATTTTGTAGATATTTCTGAATCATTTTGGTTGTCCAGCATTTTATGCCGATGATCTTCATACGAGTTTCAGTGTGTTTGTGCCGATTTTTTTCTGTCTTGTTTATCTGATTACATTTATCTTGAATGTTGGTTATATTGTTGAAGAACGTCAAAACAAAACGAAAGTAAGAATCAACCCTATATCATCCTAGTTTTCGATAATGAAAGCATGAGTTTCTAGTTTTTGAACTTGTCAGATGAGAAGTTCAACTATTCAGATGTGTAATATTATCAACCTATGAATCTTTCTTATGCAGATTGAATATCAGAAATTAAAGCAATCAGCACAAAATAGATCTATGTAGAATAGTTGTTGAATCTGAGATCTGTCGATCGAATATTTGCTAAGAAAACAAGAATGTTATCTAGAGTTCTATACATACATCCTGAAATTTTTTCACATGTTAAGTCCAATGATCAATTCGAATAACGTAGTGTTGTGAGGATTCATTCGTTCAAACCAATTGAAACTAGTTCTTTGATGAGAAGATTCAGGCCGTTCCCTATCTGAGTATCTTTTGTCTTGTGACTAGTCGTTGTATCATTATTAACAGGAATACTTACGCATTTTTGGTCTTCGTACTTGGGTGAACAATTTCGTTTGGGTAGCACGAGCAATGTGTATATTTTTCGTACTTACCTGTTTGGTGACTGGTTTGAGTTTTTTAACTTTGCCACGTTCAAGCAAACGGCCAAATAGTGTTAATAAAGCTATTTTTAGCTATACACATTGGACATTAGTTTGGACAGTTTTCTTCGTCTATTCGATTCACACATCAGTCTTTAGTGTTTTCTTTGGACAACTTTTCAAACGTCGTAAGTATTAGTTTTCAATGCATATTTTATGGAAAAAAATTTCAATATGGATCTATATGTTTGAATAGCTCTTTTGGCCAAATTAATTGGAGCACTCCTATGGATATTGACATCGATTGATTTCTATTCCGGTGTACCACTCGGTGTTCGATATTTTTTATGCTTATTTCCTAATACCGGTCTATTATTTTGTTTACAAGTCATTCTACAATATGAACGTCGAAGTGGTGAGTTAATGGATTGCCTAAAAAAACAAAAGGTAACCTATTTAAATATTTAGGAAACATGGCCACCTTTAGAGAACTCTACTCAAATATTTTTACCTATCGACTGTACATTGGTATATGTCTTCTACTAATGTTAATCTATTCTGTGATTTACATGTTATTGACTATTTATATTGAACGTGTCAATCCTGGTGAATTCGGTGTTGCACAACCGTGGAATTATTTATTCAGAAAATCATTTTGGAATCATCGCAGATCATCGACTATAGAACCAAGTGATCTTGATCTAAAGGAACATCATCCAAGACTACAGGATACATCGAATGATCAAGTGAATGATACCCATCATTGGATTCAACTCACTTCAGTTACGAACGTTAAATCTCCGTCTTTGGCCATCAATCATCTAACAAAAGTACGATCTATTTCACGATATGAGTTTTTGGAAAAAAAAATGTTGCATTCTAGAAATTTGGAAAATTGCAAGCTGTGTCTGATCTTTCCTTGGATTTCTACGAAGGTGAAGTTTGCTCATTGTTAGGACACAACGGAGCAGGCAAAACAACTACGACATTTATTCTCGTCGGTAGGCTCTATGAATTGACAGTATTTTCTTATAACATCGTATTGATCATGTTGATTTCGAGGAATGTTGGAACCAACATCAGGTAGTGTCACTGTACAAGGTATGAATAATCGGGAACATATTCAAGAAGTGCGAAAACTTCTCGGATTTTGTCCACAATACGGTAAAAAACAACAGGAAATTCATCGTGAATGTACAAAAAATAATGTTTGATTAGATATTTTGTACGATGAATTATCTGTGGACGAACACCTCACATTGATAGCTAAGGTAGGAATCAATATAAAATTTTATTTCAAGATTCGTAATGCCCTTGTTGAAATTTCAAAGTTCATTTTTCATTGAAAACAAGAAAAAACCTATTTTAGATGCGCCACATAGACAAGAGAATAATGAAAGATTCAATCGAAAAAACTCTTAATTTGATCGGATTAGTCAATGATCGGCAGACCCTATCAAAACATCTCTCTGGTGGAATGAAGCGTCGCCTCTCCATCGGTATTTCATTGATCGGTGATTCTAAAGTGTGTCGAATCAACTAACAAATCATATTTTAGTACGGTGAACTTTTTTGTTTCAGATACTCATTCTTGATGAACCAACGAGCGGTATAGGTAGGTTGTATAGGTGAGACTAGAAAAAAGAAACACTTTTATTGTTGTCAAAGATCCTCACAATCGTCGTCTGATTTGGACAATAATTCGAAAATTAAAACAGGATGGAAAATGTGTGATATTGACAACGCACTTTCTGGAGGAAGCTGATGTGCTATCCGATCGTATTGCTTTTATTAGCAAGGGTCGATTACAAGCACACGGTACACCAGATTTTCTCAAGCAACAAACAGGTCTGATGAAAAAAAATGTAAAGAAATAAACATTCTAAAGGACATTCATATTTAGAATATGAATATCGTATTTTTATGGATAAACAAGAGACTTGTGATAGTCGACATGTCACTCGATTTATTCGAGAACACGTAAAAAATGCAGTTCTAGAACGTGGATCCGCTTCAGAACTTGTCTATGGAATCAAACGTGATGAATCGAACAAGATTGAACTATTGATCAATGCACTTGATCAGCATCGACAATCAATCGGTATCAATTCTTATGGTCTATCGATGACAACGATCGAAGACGTCTTTCTCAAGTAGAAAAAAATATTGACATAGCAGAAATATTATCATCATTTTGTAGATTGATTCGAGAAGAAGAAAAAGCTGAGGATAGTAATCACAATCCAGACAATACTCGGCAGGTTCTATCGAACGAAGGTAACAGTGAAACTATTTGTTTAACAGTAAAGATCAATCAAACTTCCATTTTTTCCGATAGTTTTTCGCGTGCAGCAAGAACGCATTCATGGAGTTCGTTTGTCTTTTACTCGACTTTGGGCGCTACTAGTCAAAAGATGGCATGTTACTCGTCGACGAATTAGTTTTCTCTTAGGTTTCTTTCTACTCCCGATTATCTTTGAAATTATTCTCGTCAGTGTTTTACCTACACCAGAAGAAATTCAATCAACACTTTTGCAGAATGATCGTATTATCGATGCTCAAGTAACATTACTCCCGTCGATTTATAATCCACAAACTATTGTTACCTATTCTAATAATAATGAAAGTTATGTTCCACAACGTCTTCTTAATTATTTAATCAATGCTGGTGCGATCGTGGATGAAATATCGAATGATAACGTACTCGAATACATCCTACCGAAATACTATCAATCGGAAGATGCTTTTGTAAATCAATATAAAATGGGTTTTGCTTCTTACAATGATCCAACAGCTCAATCACCCATATTGAAATTTAATACGTACTTTTCCACGGTCAACTATCATACAATGCCAACAAGCTTAGGTATAGCTGTGACGAATCTTTTTCAATTTTATGCAAATTCATCGGCAAAAAGTATTGTAACAACAAATCAACCAATTGCAAAAACAGTAACTGTACTAACTGCACAAGCTCGTGCCTTTCAAAATCTCTTATGTTTCGATTCATTGCCAGTATCGGTATTCAATTTTTTATTTTGCATTATTGCTACTCTATTTATATCAATTCTTATACCGACATTTATTGCTGAACGTGTCAATCATTCCAAAGATCTTCAATTATTGACCAATTTAAAGAAAAGAATCTATTGGCTCTCGAATCTCATCTTCGATGTTTCACTTTGTTTGATTCTTTGTTCACTTCTGACAATTGTTTTGAAAGTAAGTGAATCGTTTATCAGGATGATAGAATGAGATCAGCCACTGAAAATTGTTATATCAACGTTTTTGACAAATAGAAAATTTTCATGCAATAAGAAGAATCTTGTTACTTTCATATCTTGCTGAGATATGAAGACCTTCTTTTTTATGAGTATTTTAACAGTTTGAGTTTCGTCCAATTCTATAGTCTTTGTCTATAGTTCGATTGTTTTATGTATTCAAAATCAGTTGTTATCAATACTTTCTTTGGTGTAGATCGGTGCAACAGCCAATTCAAAAACACAATCCGAAGTTTATATTTATCGCAATACAGAAGAAACGGGCTATTTCTTTCTTATGTTTCTGATGTATTCATTAGCATCATTGCCATTCATTTATACCTTTTCTTTTGGTGTAAAACGAGAACTAATTGGTGTGATTAATTTTTTTCTATTGAATGTTTTGATATGTTTTGCCGATATGATTTTGAGTTTTCTTGCTACCGTTGCACAAGAAAAAGGTTCATCTAATCAAAATGGTACCACTGCTGGAGCAACAGCTGTAACAACTATCCGTTGGATTCTATCGGGTCTTCTGCCAACAGTGAATTTGAAACACGCTCTTTCTAATATTCGTCTTCGCTCGAATCGTGACTGCATTAAATCATTTAATTCAATTATGGGTACAAATTATGCCTTCGATGAACCGTGGATGTCAGTGTATGAGCCTGGTCTGGGTTTACAGTTTATTATTTTCTGCTTACAAATCCTATTCTGGTGGTTAATATTGGCAATAATCGAAAATTTCACCAATATCAAACGGGCATGCCAACGACATTGCAATAAATCCAATCAGTTAAATGATATATTCGAATTTGATGATTCGGTAAAGGAGACACAACATTGTTCGAGATTATTTAATAGTGAAGTGTTCATCTAGCATTTAGATGAAGATGTTCGAATAGAACGTGAATCGATTTTAAAGGAATATGAACAGTCAACATCAACCGTTATTCTTGTTCGAGATCTTGTTAAACAATTTACAAAACGAAAAGAAAAGTCCCTTACTCGACGTATCTACACGGCAGTTGATCATCTAAATTTTCGAGTCTCAACACGATCTTGTTTTGGTTTATTAGGTGTGAAAGATTGTTTCTACTTAAGATATATATATATATATACATCTGTCATCGATATTCTAGGAGCAAATGGAGCAGGTAAAACAACAACATTTCGAATATTAATCGACAATATTAAACCAACTTCTGGTGAAATTATTATCAATGGAAAAAATATTAGCAAAATGGTTGAAAATTCCTATAGAAGAATCAAATTCTTTTCTTAAATTAATTCGTTAGTTTTTTGTAGAAACGTGATCTTGAAATTGGCTTTTGTCCACAGTTCGATTGGCTTGTAGATGGTCTTAATGTTACTGAAACAGTGATTTTGTTTGCCAGGTAATTGTAATATGAATAAACATAAAAGGATCAGTTCCAGAGTCATTCAATCTGTGATGAAAATCTGTCAAGCTTAGATAACTTACACGATATTGGATACAAATATTACTTTAATTCTAAGCATTTGTTGTCACTTACTCTATCTAGATTGAAAGGTCTACAAGCATCGATTATACCGCGACTTTGCCAGAATATGATTCAATTGTTCGGTCTGGACACGTACGAAAAGCAGATCGTACAAAATTTAAGGTCAGTATTCATAAACATGCCTCTGTTGTGGAATGAGTGATCCATTATAAAGAGAATTCATGACCTCTTACTAAAACTTTCGAGAATCGTTTATCTTTGAAAAACAATCGTCTAGAAAGTTATGGAATAATTGTGCCCTTACAATCGTTAATATGAAAAAAACCGTAGACAGAGAGATCACTGTTAAGTTGAATTGACTGAATAAGACTTGCACTCGATTCGATTTCGATCTCTAATCGTATTTTGTTCTCTGTCTCAATACATTCTAAATTTGACTGTATCTTTATATAAACAAAGCTATTTGTCTTCTTTTTTTGTCTAATACTTACAGTGGTGGCAATAAACGAAAGTTGAGTGCAGTTATTGCATTCATGGCCAATCCGGCTTTGGTCTTTTTAGATGAACCAACAACAGTATATCAACTCGTTTTTGTCTAAAAATTATAACATGAATGAAATTTACGTTAGGGTTTGGATGCAGCCGCCAAACGAAAATTGTGGGCAGTAATTCGTTCCGCTCGTGATATTGGTATAACCATCATCATGACCAGTCATAGGTAACGAAAAAATTGAATATTGGATTTGTCTAATTGTCTCTATACTTTTTATCTAGTATGGAAGAATGCGAAGCTTTGTGCACGAGTAAGTCGATTGTTTTTTGTTAGGATGATAATTATCATCTACTATAATTCTATCGAGGAATCGGTATTATGAAATTGGGTCAATTTATGTGTTTGGGCAATCTACAACATTTAAAAAATCGGTTTGGTGATGGTTATGCTGTACAAGTAAAAGTATCAATCGATAAAGTACAAAAAATCAAAGACGATCTTACATCCTTTTTTCCAGAAATTGAGATTCAAGGTAGGAGCAACATGAGAATAGATCGAAGTGAAACCAAAGTACCATTGCATGTTTGATCTAGCATAAACGATTTCATTCAAATGTCAGAGGAATAAGAGGCAAAGAAGATTAGGAATTATCTAAGTTAGACTTTTTTTTTACAAGAAACTTTCAATAACTATTTAATTGCAGATCAACACGATGGAATGCTCTTTTGCAATATACCCTTTTCGTCAACATCATCATCACCATTGAAAGATAAAAATGCAACTACATCGACTTTTAATTTGGTTCGTATATTTGCAATGCTTAACGCTCAAAAGAATCAAAAGTTGATCGAAAGTTATTCGTTGTCACAAACAACACTTGAACAAATCTTTGTTCGTCTTGCCGGTGATGATGAAGATAACATATCCACTATTTCATCTAATAAAGAACCATTGAATCAAACCGAAGCAGCAGATGAAAGTAAGTTATATTATAACCAGTAATCATGAACTAGAAAAGAAAGATAGCTTATTCTCCTTCCTGGAGAAAAGCAAGACTATCGAATATATAAATCGATGCTTGACAGCCAAATCATGTTTTTTCTATCATTTACCTTTTTCTTAATCGATTGTTTTAAAACTAACAGAAATTTGATCATTTTCTTTTAGTTGTTTCAACTCGCTTCTGAATCAAAATGGACTATGATCAACATCAGCAATGCTGAGGAATGATCTGTTATATATACCATTTTCGATTTGACTTGACATTTTAAGTATTATAATCGTTTTAATTGCGGCAAAAAAAGTTACTAATGTTACTTGATCGAGACTAAATATTCCATGGTGTGCGTGTGTGAGGATATGGGTGAAGAGAGCTTACCACACTGAGCCGAGATTCTTTTAGTCGTACCCAGATTGGGTGTGGTTGTGGCAATGCGCATATCTTGTTCATTTCTTGTCTCATTTCGATATCTAGTTTCATTCCTAAAAATTACTTTTAAATACTCCTCGCTAAAGTCTTTCGATGTGAACACATAAAATTGAAAAACGTTATAGGATTTATCAAGCACATTTCACAAAGCCAAATAAAGCGTTTCAATCAAATTCAAGATTTCGGCGGGATGCTTTGAATCTTTTCCTATCGGTTGATATAATATTATAAAGACAGACATTTAAGATTAGTTCTCTATACACAACACTAATATTCAAATAAATTACAAAAGACATGATTTCAACATGTAAAATGCCATATTTTCTCGACGATGAATGACTCTTGTCAATTTTTGAACAGCTTTCGATATTTGTAAATATGAAATTTGAGGATGTGCTGCTACATCTATGTGAGTTGAACATTTTTTCTTATCTGTTGAAATTTTATAAGCATGATCACACATTTTTGGATGTCATTGATCATAGCCATCTATTTCAATCCATGATCTTGGTTTCGACTTTGTTCTAGTTGATTTCGTACGTTTAAATTCATATTGTCTTTTGATTTGCATATATTCACTGGTTTTATTCCATTTCTCTCTTCCACGTTTTAGTCTTACAGGATCGCACTAACAAGTTGTCTCTATATGTCACATATTGCGATTGCAGATACCCGAATGTCTCTCTTCACCATATTGATATCATCGATATATGTTCTGTGTTATATTATTCTTTTCTAAAACCGATGACTGCAACTATTGAGTATCTATCAGGTTAGACTTTTTTGTTAGCTCTCTATGCTACATGCATTTTTTAAAAAGAAATAAGGTACTCTTCTGAAAATTTTCGATAACTGATTATAAATCATTATCTCTTGGATATAAATTTTCGTAAAGTCGTCCAGATTGTACGAGGTATAAAATTTACTGTTCATTGTCGAGTTCTTCTGATCTCAACACGATAGAACAAATGTGGGCTGATACGGAGCGAGAACTCCAAAAAGACCCAGCAGAAGAGTCAGCGGATTTAGAATGCAAGTAAACCTGATGCTACAGAAAAATTAGTTCATTCATTAGGCAGTCTGCTACACGAATGTATTAAACAGAAAGAACGGCCAACACCGCACTGATGTCGTTTTTGGTCTTAAAATCTTGTTTGATTTTTTGAACAATATAACATTTTTGTATATTATCTGAAAGTAAAGTCTTATCATTGAGACATCTGTTATTCCCGTAATCACACGTACTTGAACATATATTTTGAAGAAAAATCCCGTTTTGAGATTATCACATAAAGAGATCCAGAAACTCAGATGTAGAGATTTGAAAAATATGAGAAAAAAAAGGTATTTTTGAGTTCATTTTCTGTTTAAATTGCAAAGTCAATTAGTTGTGCATCTATGTTCAAGCTGATCATTTCTAAATAGTAATAGAGCTTTCCATCGACCCTTTGCCAACAGGTAGGTCTCGGTAAAATAAGAAAAATTCTCAAACTGATTGTACCGCTGTGTTGTTTCTTGTCGAGTTTGAGTCATGTCCCTCAGATTTTAGCTTATAGTAAGGTATATAGAAAACAAATCGTAGATGATGAAAGTATTTTGAATCAATATTACCAATTGATCGAATCAAGATTTTAGACGATTCAATTGTACCTAGGTTGATTTATTTATCGTTCAATTTTATCTTTCTTTTGAACGTAAATACGGCATTTTTCGAGACTTGCAGATCATTAGGTTCAATAAATCATGTTACACAACTTATCGATAATTGACAGCAAAATACTGTCAGAATTCCTACGTACGTTACTATATTTATGACAGTACTTTTCTTGCTTATTTTTCTTCAAAGATTTCTATTCTATTATTATGTTTATCAAGTGGACAAATATTTATTTTTCTACATACAAGCAATTGAAAGGGTCGTATGACTCATTGTGTCATACGACATGGCTCTTTCATGTATACAACGATAGAAAAGATTTGAATCTTGTTTTTGCCGGTAGCACAAGAAAATAGTAGTTTACAAAAAAAAATTGGTCGTAGTTGAAGATCCGACGCACTACAAAAACAAGATCAATGAATTCGTCTGAAACAGAAGTCTTCTCGACTGAACAACAAAACACAGTAACTAATGAAGATGAAATCAAAATCACGACAGGTTCAGTCAAAATCACTCCCAATACTGAACTCTACTATGAACTTCGTTTACCAAACATTTCACAAGAAACATCAAAAGTAATTATGATAATGGGTGCATTTGCTACATTGAAACATTTCGATGAGCAAGCACAAGTTATTGTCAAATATTTTGCTCATTCTTCAACACCAGTGGAAATTTTGACATACGATCATTGTGGAATAGGGAAATCACTAACTACTTCAAAAGTTCGGCAAACATCACGTATGCTTGCTAATGATGCTTGTGCTTTGATTAATAAAGTCTGGGTAGCAAATGAGCCTATCCATGTATACGGTGCCAGCCTTGGTGGAATGGTAGCGCAAGAATTGGCTTTACTTTTAATTCAGTCAAATCGTTTGAAATCGTTGTATCTTGCGGTGACATCACGTGGTAGTTACATTCGACCGATGGCAATACTTGGTCATAGTATCTGGTCATTGTTAATGCCGTTTCTTATCAAGAAAGATCATGAAAGAATGGTTCGCGATGTTCTTCTGCCTTCTACATATTCACCTTCTGCTCTCAAAGTCAACGGTGAGCTATATGCAACTTTATGGATTAATAACTACGATCAATGGTGGGCTTTTGATAATCAAGATGCTTGTGCTTGTCAGTGCTCGGCAGCTGCTTCACATTATTTATCGAATGATGAATTACGCTTGATACGTACTACAGGTATTCCGATTACCGTTCAAATATCTTTGAAAGATCGATTGATATCACCGAGAAAACAAGAAGAACTAGCAAAATTATTAAATGCCAAGACAGCTGTATTCGACCAAGGCCACTTGGGTGATGATGATGTCAAAAAAGAATTATTTCAAGCATTCATCGAACATCTTGCAAATGTTAATTAACATTATGTTTTTTAATAAAATCTAGAATAATGATTGATTGTCACACGCGTTTTTTATGCATCTTTGTTTCCATTTGAAAGAACAATTGAGTTGGACGCATTCAAGCTTTCTAAAGAACGAAGTCCTCGATTAAATTAGAGTTGATTTAATTTAATTTTGTCTTATTGGAAAAGGCGTTATAAAATTTTTTACAAAATGCTTCGATTAACTGACATCTAGACGACGAATACATCTTCGTTGTTCGGAAATATAGTCGTTTAATTCATCAGCACAAGTCTTCATCTTTGTTTTTAACAATGATGCTGGAATTATGCATAGCTACATTGAAAGGATGTGGGTGTGGGTGTGCGGGGTGTAGGGTGCGGGTGGGAGTGGGTGTGGGGTATGGGTGGGTGAAAAGAGAATACCAGCACACCCACACATCCCACATTTTCGCGCCGACATTTTGGCGCCAACACTTGAGCGCACGAGTCGAACTCGCAAAACAAGTTGTTTTTATTTTGGGGGTGCATGTGAGTGTGGGGTGTGGGTGTGCTGATATTCTCTTTTCACCAATCCATATCCCGCACACACCCACACCCACACCCACACACTCCACATCCACGCCCACATCCTAAATTGGCAGTGTATGATGCAATTAGTATCAAACTTCAGATATATAAACTAGCAGTTAGTAACCGTCCAGCAGCTGTACTGCTATGAAAATCTCCACCATATCCAACAATATTACCAAAAGCATACCATACACTCATTGCAAGTTGAGACAATATTGATCGATCTTGTAATGCTTCATTATCTTGTCTCTCCATTATACATACCAAAATACCAGCATAGATAAAAATAACAAAGACTAATAACCAAAGATTACGTGAGAATGGTTTTCAGGATGAGAGTAGATCGATACTAACAGCGGGTGTCTTTCGTACTACAATACGTAAGGAATTATCAAGTATAGCATTTAAAAAACTGACCATCTCTCTTCGTGAAGCGGTAACGATCACGTCTATCACTATATCGTAAACACCGTTACTACTGCTTGAATCAATCCATCATATGTTTGATTTTTTGGTGCTAATTTAATAGTTGGAATAAATCCTGTTTTACTTTGTAAAAGTTTAATAAGATCCAGTACATAGCCACTATACTGCATTGTACTTTGTCCAGATGCATCTGTAACATTTTGAGCTATAGTAAATGGAACGGATTCAATAACACCTATTCTCAAATTTACACCTTTAAATATTGCTCAATCAGTAGGTGGCGTTAATGAATTATCGGGCCATACTACAACATTTTCTTTTAAAGGTGTTCTTCAATTACCCGGATGAGCATATTCTAATAGGGGCACAAAATTTAAACCATTCGAAGAAGGTTGAACATTTTTTGCAGAATAATATAAACCAATTATTCGATCTGTTGCATTAACACTAAATTGTATATGGCCGGATACGCCAAGAAACTCTGTTGTACTAACTGCATCTAACAATAAGTCAGATTGAATGAAACGACTATCATAACAGAGTGAAGATCCATCAAATGACAACCATGAAGAAGACCTATTCATTTTTGATGCACACAATTGTTGCAATGATTGAATTAATGTCCATGTTGCATCAGGTGCAAATAATGCATAATTATATCTACGTTCATCGATCCAGGGAATGACTCAGGCGCATAGTGTTTCATTAATTCAAGCATTGACAACTGATCCTACAGCTGGTTCAATCAAAAGCATTCCAATTAGGTTGTCATGAAATGTTTCATTGAAAAAATTTAAAGAAACACCAGAGCTTAGTATCCATGTATAATACGGACCAACTACATTAGAATCAAGAGCATTTTGCATAATTAATGGTATATAACTTGATTGCGCCCATAACACAACCATTCATATTGCAACATTAGATACAAGACTTTTCAAATCACTACGAAAACTAAGGTTGGCAATATCAAATATAATACTTTCTATGACGATTAAACCACTTTTATTAAATGCTGCATGCAAAGCTCTGACTTCACCAAGTCCAAAGACTTCATTTTGATAAATTAGTATACATGGAGTCCAATTAAATCGAATGAATAGTTTTGCAGTGACAGATGCAGCTGCATCGTCTGAAGCAACTGTGCGATAAAAATTAAGATAAGTATTTCGATTATAGTCTAATCACTTTTCGTTTGTATTCATAATCTCGCTAGCCAAATTGATGGAATTGTTCTTCTTCGAGTTGGCCAGTTGTGATCTTTGTTGAAAAGAACATCACCTCGACGATTGTCAGAAGCATACATTTTATTATCATCTTCTTTCTTAGGTTCAATGAGTTCATCTATAAAAGAATATTCATATAGTTGGTGAAAAGAATAAAACGAAACAAAAGACCTTCTGCTTTCAAATGATTACGATGATTTTTGGATTTTGTTCAGTTTTGGTTGAAAACGAGAAAACGTACCTGCAGAAACCACATACAAATATCTCTTCTACGATACATATCAAACTTGACAATTACCAGCAAAAACTATTTATCCAATAATTTTTTTTATTGAAATTTAATTTAGTTTTTCCTCCTTCGATTTCTTTAACACTGCTTTGACCAAGAATTGAATAGACACTTCCTAGTATATAAATCAGACAACTGCTTGATGATGATTCATACGTCACAGAGCAGGAAGGATGTGAGTGTCGGTGAAGAGAGAAGTGACACCCATGATCACATCTTCTGCAGAAATTTTGTTGGATTTGTCTAATCGTTATACTCTTGTAATGATATTCATTTTTATTCTCTCATACTTTTCTTCAAACTTTATTTTTAACTTCAAATCGTCACTGAGTAGGATGTATAAATTAATTTTATGAATGATATGTGATCACAAAGCGTAGTGTATTGATTTTAGAGACTTTATACTCAAAGTATGAATATTTGAAATTCAAGAAAAATACTAGAATATTGAAAATGTTCCAGGTTTTTATCATTCATATTATTCTGTCTCCTCTTTATGTTTCAAATAAAACAAATGTTATGTATGTATTCTAATTGTTGTTCAAAATAAATGCCATCCTCCGATTGAGCATATAGGAAAACCTAGAAAAAAAACTTGAATGAGTAAGTTCAGATGTCTTTTGTCCAGGAACTCTTCTGCTCAACTTTGACCTCGCATGGTCCATTTTAGCTAGACAAGCTGTAGTAGCTCAGTCATTAATAGTTGCTTGATCACTGATGGATGATGATGAATGTGCTGCATATATTTTCAGTAAGAGTATGTTCAGAGTATAAAAGTAACACCGAGAAGCTGTGTTGCATCGAATATACAAATTGTTTTCTCAGGGTATATAGGCTGTGACTGATTCATACAAATAATGAAACTAAAGGCATTTCTCCAAAAATGTTTCGCTTATAATTTAAAAATTTTGATTTCTATATAGGATAACTAAGGTAAATAAGATTTTATATATGTTGTTGTATTAAAAGTTTATTTTCAGGAAAGTATTATGATTAAATCATTGTAACATGAGTTTTATTTTAATATCTCAAAATCAATTTTGGTGCATGCTTAGTTTTAACAAGAATACAGTAGATTTGACTTGCGAATAATACAAACGCTAGATGTCATTAAAGCCAATTTCTTAATTAGAGTTGATTAGAAAAATTTACTATTATAAACAATCTATATTCGTGATATAATATTTCCTATGCTGTTAATACCAGCTTTCCAAAATGAGTTTTCTCTTAAGTGCATTACCGAACTTCTAGTTCAATATTGATTTGATGACTTGTACATAACTAATCATTCAATATGCATTAACCAATAGCATTGATGTCGTTTGTCTCTACAATATTAAGACAAAGAGTGATAATTATGCATTAGCTTCTTCCATTTTTCATACATTCTCACACACATGTCATTTCCTCCATAATTGGTGTGTTAGTTAGATCAGAAGATTTCATGTCGAAAGCAAAAATATTAATTAAAGAGAAAAGCTACCAAAGATTTTCATCTTTTCTCCCTGTTTATTTCAATTCAATTCCAATCGTCGTCCAAATCTTTGTATATCATTTCAAAGATAAGTACATTCATTGAAGAAAACTTTACCTCAAATAACAAATCTTTCAATTTTTTATGGCAAAGTTAGTGTATTATTAGTATAATATACTAAATGGTGAATTAATTAGTTCAGCTGTCTTGGTCTGGTTTTTGTTTCTCTCGGTTACATAAAAATATCTTTATTTTCGAATAGTCTTATCATTGAAATGATATATAGAATGCCTCGATGTACATAAAGATCAATAAAGAAAATATAGAATAGCAAAGATTCATTATTTTTATTAACAGATCATTGATTCGTTGTGTCATAAACTTCGGTAAAAAACTTTTTAATAGCAAAATTTTCTGAGTTAGAATTAATGATGTACTAGTTCTCAAAAGTAAACAAAGGACTTCAGTTAGCATCGAGTCATAGAAAAATCAAGGATTGAAGAGCTTAGAAAGATTATGAGCTTTTACATTCTTTCGAAAAATATATCTGTTGCCATTTGGATGTCAATATTCTTCACTAAGTCTAATAATAAAATCATGTCGAATTTTTATGCGTTCATATGGAAGATCTCAAGAAATGTGTTTTCGTAAAATTGTCATAACGGGACGTTATTATTTTTCAATTCTAACTGCATCAAAAATGTTATCATACATAAGAGGATATCATGTATGAAAATTAGTGAATTGAGCCATGTCACGAAAAAAGAATATTACTTTTGAGAATTTTCGTAAATTACTTGTATTCTGGACGAAAATTTTTTTTTCATGAAAGGGGAGCAGAAACTTGAAATGATCGAAAAAAATTGATTATGTGACTTGGAGAATAGCATCTATTTTGCTTATTTTCGTTGGACCAATTCATGAGAACTCAACTAGTTTTAAGCAGGTACAAGGGACATGATACTATTTTCATATACATCATGTTGCATGTTAATATGAAAAAAAGAAAATTCTACTGATCGAAATGAATGCTACGATTTAGTGTTGCAAATATTTTTTTGTTTTCATACACAATGTAGGGCACAGAAAGATGGGTATTAAAAAATAGATCATAGAAATAGCTGATAAAATTTCTTCTACAAATGCATCGACGTCTGTTATGGAATGTCAATCTGATCTATATGTATGATTCAAGGCTGAATGTGGGTGTGAGATGTCAGAGAAGAGAATATCAACATCCATAAAGAGAAGGGCGCAAGGAAAATACACAGGGTATCCCATAAGTAAGGTAACCAAGTATTTTTTCGATTTCTTTCTTATAGATCGTCAGTTAGGTCTCATATTTATGCCACATATACAAGGTGATATAAGTCACAGATATAGTATATGAATCATTTCTTGGTGTACTATAAATTTTTCAAAAGCGTACAAATACAGGATAACCAAGAAAATGAATCATAGGCGGCAGTTCTAGTTTTTGATTGTCAACACATATTTCATTCTATTTAATCTGGTAGCACTTAGAGGGTGGCGTATTAAACAGTTTTTGTCAGTGTGATTATCTTATTCTGTAGCTTTAATCAAGTTTTGCTAGAACTCAGACGTGTTTGCATTTACTGGATATTCTGTATTTGTATCCTTTTGAAAAAATTATAATAAGCCAAGATACTGTTCATATGCTGAATCTTTCACTTATGTCACCTAGGATCTATGATATAAATATGAGACCTAATTGACAACCTATAAGAAAGAAATCGAAAAAAAACTCTGTTTCCTTACCTATGGGGCACCTGTATGTGGAAGAGAACATGATCTAATTTTATCGTTACATATCATAACACACAGTTTATATCGAGATTGTATTATTGCAATATTAGTTGAAGTATGATCAAATATTATAGAAATTGAAGCATTATGTTTATTATTACTAAATAAGAAGAGAAAGTTTTTTCAAGTTTTCTATACAGAAATAAAGTACGTCTGTCACTAATTTTGAATTGACTTTAGTAATATAATATTTTGTATAATTAATCAAATGGATAAAATTTTTTAATAAGTTTCACTTTTTTTAAAACCATTTGAAGAATATGCCGTTTCATGGGACAGAAAATTTTTGAAGGTTGTTTCATCTCATGTAGGATGAAAAATTTTGAATCACATCACATCAAATGGGATAAGCCATGGCGGTTCATTGTATGGAGCCAATTGTGTTTGTCCCATCTCATCCCACGCGAAGCCATGGTGTTTATATTTCGTTTACCATATGTTTCCTAATTATTATACAATACTCGGCGTCGACATTCTTTGCATACTAGATAAACTATTCATATTTTCTTATTTCTTATTTTGACATTCTAGTATATTCTTTTCACAATTGCACTACGAAGTAAATATCAGTTTAACTACAAGAAAAAGAAAATACAAACAACTGAAAAAGAACGATAAATGTATGTACCGATAGTCGACGATTATTTATAATCGGTTATGTATGCATCGATAAATGCCGTCAGAATAGAAATGACCTGAAAAAAAAATACACAATCTAGCAGTTATCCGTAAAAAACGTCAAGGTAAAAATCACACTTTTTTTCGAAAATTTCATATAAATAGTCCTCAAAGTAACTATCTGCTGATGTAGCACAATCTTGAATTATTTTAACACCATATTCATCTTCAGCTGGTTCATTCAGTTCATTTTCTACTGGAAAAATACTCTTTTAAACATAATGAGCTTCTATATGTTGTGAAACTTTACTCGAACCTCCTTGATGCATGATCATTTAGTCAAAAATTGTTTATCATATGTACTGGTTTGTATCGACATTCATTTTTAGTTACTAATAATATAACATGAAAATGCAACGATTTATCATACTATGTTTTTTAATCTATCTTATCTATGGTTATCCAATCGATCAAAATCTTAAGTAAGAAAACTTGTTTTTTCATATATTATCTACTTAATAATAAATTGAGTTTAGAACGTATCAAATTCGTCAACAACGAAGTATTGATCTTATGAATTGGAAGTCAGCTGATATATTGTTTAAACGACTTTATTTGAATGAAAACCGTCAAAATCAAATAGATGCTCGAATGAAACGTTCAGAAACTCCACCAGAATTAAGACCAGTAGAAGGACCAATTAGTATTGAACAATTACCAGCTATGTTAGCAGCAAGAAATGTTAAACGGTATCCTTATTCTCAAGAAAATGATCCTGCTATCATGTAAATAAATATATTAGACTAGAAATTTATATTATGTATCATATGTATTTTCTTGTTTTTTTTTTTTAATTTTAGTGGTCGATAATATATTATCTATTCAATAGAAATCCGATTAAGAAAAAATTTAATGTGGTTTATATAGCTAGATATTGTAGAAATATCTTATAATAATTTTGTTTTTCTCTCGTTCAAGTCCTATCTTCTTCTTTTTTGTTTGTAATAATGAATGATTTATTTGTTTATGAAAAAGATGAATGTACCTTATGTTTCTTTGAAAGTCAATACTAATAAATATTTACTGGTGTTATTGAATCATTTAATAAATGTAAAGTAGAATAAAACAAAAACAAACATTATATTTCGAAATATTCAAAGATTTAGTTAACCTTGATTTAAGCAGGAAATAGATATTTTGAGACAGATAAAAACAAAATTATGACAAAAATCCAAACTTTTACAAATTACCTTAAGATAGAGCTTCGAATTGGAATGAAAAAAAACTATTCAATTGGACGGGTGATTCAGTACAAAGTTTCTTCAAGCATTCGATTGATTTTAATGATCTTAATTTTTTCTTCTAAAAATAAACAATGGAGAATCTTATGTGTCAGAATCTTGTTGGGCTCAACGAATACAATAATGGATTCATCAAAATCTACGAAGATCTCTGAAATAAGCGAACAATGAGAGTCGAATAAAAATTCTTATTTATTCATGAGGAAAAAAAAAGGAAATACTATAACACAAGAACTTCGTACCACCCGATTAGAAATTTTACTTATCTCTCATAAAGCCGATCGTATTGAAATTTGGAAAAGGTTCAGAGAATGTTTCCTCTTAAGCTATCATGATTCAATTTGGGTATCACTCTTTTTTCTTTAGACTAGTTTTTTAATCAGTATTATATTCATGTTTTCTTTTAAGAATATTTGACAAGGCATTGATGAACACTTGAAACTTATCTCTTAATTCACAATGAAATAAAACATACTCTCTATACTTAATAGACACAAGTTGAGAAATTGTTCAACAGGACAACGCAATTTGTTTGTCTATTATTTTCCTATTTTCTTTTTTTTCGCTTTCATTACATTAAATCATGGAGCCCATGATTTTCTTGATAATCATCTTCACAGCTGCAATCATTTAATTATTAAAGTAGCGTCTTCTATCGATGTTCACTGAACGAGATTTTACTGAATATCACTGTATGCTGTGTTCTCGTATAACAGAATTACCAAGACAAGAAAATCTCATGTTTTCATCGCTGAACTAGTCTTGTGGAAAACTTTTTTGCTGAAAAGTTTGCAATGCAACTTACTTCAACTATTCAGAAAGTTCGATTTTTTTTCTATTTGCTCATCATCATAGTGATTCATGAATGATAAAAGTTGGTCAATTAGATATAATTATCTAATTTGATAAAGAGATTTTCATAAGAAAAGTCGAATACCTGTGGAATGCTAATTTGAAATATATATATACAATGACTTCTAAAATTATCCAACCAAATTTATTTTCGAGTTTCTTTGTGTTAATACTGTTGAAGGATGGCATCTCTGTAAACCCAGAAAACTAAGTTTTTCAGTTTCCATGGCCTGTCAAATAAAATTTTATTCAAAAACTCTAGAATGATTTCTTATTTCGTACAGAAACATTATTGTCAACTGGGAATAAGGTAGAAAGAAAGTCAACTATTTCCAGTTTTGACTTCCCTATCCGGATTCATAAGTTTCTGAGACCCACATCTAAGTTTTAGCTTCAAACCTTTAAGTATTTCTCTCATTAAAAATAGATAGTTTTTCAACAACGCTCAAAGTATCTCCGTGATAAGGTCGAAAGTATCTCAAAAAAAAAACATTTTCAATCGGTTCAGATCGATTTTGGTGGAAGAAGTAATAAACCAGGGTTTTCCTGAAATCTTCTTGAAAACTTTTATCTCGAACACGTGTTGCCTTATTCTAGGTTCATGTTTTGTGAGAAAAATCTCAATTTGATCAGTTTTATCCTCTTCGAGAATAAGAAATGGTGAGAAAAGAAGGAATGGATACTCTTAAATAGAAGCCATTTTTTGCAGCTTCTAGGAGCTGAAAAGAGTGATTTTGGCTTTTATAGAGACCTTATCCTGAGAATATTAGTAATCATTTTTATCTTCAAAAATCTTTTTTTTTTTGAAAATAAAACTTTCTATCTAAATCACTATTTGAATTCTACTTAGCATTGACAACAGCGAAAAAAAGGTGAAAATAGACTTGGTCGAATAATTTCGAAAGTTACTCTATACACTTACAATATAATTATCATTAAATAAGTTGAATATTAATCTAATAAGATTTTGTAAATGAATATTATTTATTAAAATACACTCATTCGCGCGGGTATACGAAAATTGGTCGAATGAAAATTGGTCGAACGAAAATTAGTCGCAGAAAATTGGTCGATACGAAAATTAGTCGTTACGAAAATTGGTCGATACGAAAATTGGTCGTTACGAAAATTAGTCGTCAAGAGAGAATGGTCGAGAGTTTCATGATTTCAAGAAGACCATAATAAAAAAAAAATAGTGTCAAATTGAGACAGATAATTTAATCATCGACAGTATAGAACGGACATGATACTATAAACAATTTTCAGACTATTACGAAAAAGAACTCATCTTTTTTTTGTATGGGAATTGATATAAATTATTGATTAATTAATCCAAACAAGCTTCCACTTCTTAATTATGTATGTTGGGATCAATCAGATTACTTTTGACCTAAAGCTAATTAGATTAAAAAAGTTGAATAGAATATATATTAAGCCACTGAGAGAAGTCGACATTTTTTTTTCTAAAATGTCAACATTCAAGTTGAGTACGACTCAAAGAAACAAACCTCTATTACTTTGCAAAGGCTTTTGTTATACCATCGATAAAACAACTGATGATAAAATTTATTGGAAATGCGAATTTGTTCGAACGCTTAAATGTAAAGGTCGAATTCATACTAATTCTATTAATACGGTCATTTTACATGAGAATAATAATCACAACCATCTTGGAAATGCTGTTTCAAGTGAAATTCGACTATTTGAAGAAAAAATTCGTGATCGTGCTGTTAACTATAATGAATCTACACAAACTGTAATTGACAATTGTTTAAATAATTTATCTGATAATACTGTAGCACGCATTCCGAAATTTAAACATATTAAGAATTGCGAACGTTTATAAGAATTTATACATTTTTTGCATCACTTTTATTTTCATACCCATCGGATTATTTTTTTTGTATCTATGAATTTTTTCTATACCTGTTTCTTCCTCTTTTCTTTATCTGTCTGATTCATTTCTATTCAATCATTCATTTTGTGTAACATTGCTCTATTAAAATAGTTACTGATAATTTATTTTTATATTTGAAATTGCGACTCAATATTTTTGATGAGAACAGTTTTTTTCTCTAATTATAAACTCTCGACCATTCTCTCTTGACGACTAATTTTCGTAACGACCAATTTTCGTATCGACCAATTTTCGTAACGACTAATTTTCGTATCGACCAATTTTCTGCGACTAATTTTCGTTCGACCAATTTTCATTCGACCAATTTTCGTTTTCCCCATTCGCGCGGAGGAAAATGAAGAACGGTTGCGCTCGTTGATGACTGGTTGAAGAAGAAAACAAACGAGAGTAACGCATTTTGACAGATGATCTTTTTCTTTTTTTTGTTTCGCATTACTATCGACCGTTCATATTCTTAGTAGGTGTATATCTTTTTTTTTTCGATACTTCAAATATTAATTCGTTAGTTATTTATTCTTATGATTACTGATATTATTCAATTTTTTGTTTTTGAGAAAAATAAATGTCATGAATGAAACAACAACAGACGATAATAAAACCGAATCTCAACCACCAATAATACATGTTGTTGAAGATTCTATTGCGTCTCGTACAAAAGAAATAACTAAACGACCAAAACGTGAACGTAGTCCAAGTAAAGTATAATATTCAATAAAAACATGATTATAATCATGATTTTATATAGCTGTTCAAATTCAACCACCAGCACCTAAAATAAAAAAAGTCAAAGAGGTCGCACCCAAATTACCAGATAAAACAAAATGGACTATGGAAGAACAAAAACAGTTTTTTAGTGCACTTCGCATTGTATGATAAATTATATTTTATTTAGAAATCTATATTGACTTCTTCTTTTCATTATTATTAGTATGGAAAAAATTTCGAAGCACTCGGTCAATTTTTTAATACTCGACGTCGTCTTGTCAATCCTGAAGCACAACAACGTACATTTGGTCAAATACGTTGTTTTTATTATCGTTCATTTCGTACAGTATCAAAACTATGTACATTTACTGAAGGTTAATATTCAATTTTTATTTAAAAAGAAAAAGAATGTTTTGTTTTTTGATTCTTCTTTTCTTAGAAGAAAAATCTAATGTTGATTCTCTTGAATTACGTTCTGTTCTTGCGTATTTATGTTTAAAACCAAAAGTTAAATGTAAGTTTTCTTTTTTTTTATCAAATAATTTTCTTAGAATTTCAAAAATAGGTTTTGATAAAAAACCAACAATATCTGTTTTACATCAACTTATTCGTAATGGTAATGCATTTTTACGTGTAAAAGGACAACGAGAACATGTATCAATTATTGGTAAAGCATTAAAACCACCAAAGACCACAAATACAATTGGTAAAAAGAAAAAAAAAAAAGAAATCTTTCGAAAAAAAAAAGAAACTTCAACTATTTAGGTTCATCCAAACAAACTGATCGTACATTATCAAAACATGTTAAAATTTTATTAAGTCCATTATCAGCAAATGCATATATGCGTGTTGGATTATCATGTCGATATCCACATGTTGAAGTTTTATTATCACGTTCAACAACAATTTATGACTTTATCGATAAATTAACTCAATATTGGCAATTAAATAATCATGCACAATCTGTAAGTAGACTCAAGTATATAATAAATACTGTATTTTATTTTTATATTATTTTAGTTATTGAAAGATGATTTATCAATAGAACAATTTATTTTATATCCACATGGATTATATTTAACAGCAACGGATTCTCTTCTGACAACAAATGATACAACTTCAATACTTGATCTTTCTTCACGAAAACAATCACGTTCACGATCAGATTCTGAACAGTCAATAGAACCATCAACAGATTCATCATTAAATTTAATTCGGAAAAGAAATAATTTATCAGAAAGCGAAATAAATAATGAATCAATAGGAGTTAATAATTCATCGGTATCTCCACCAGCAGCAACAACGACGAATACAAATAAATCAAATTTAGCACGAACAGCTATTTTATTAGCAGCAAAACGAGCTGCTTGTAATAATAATACTAATACTAATGCAAATAATTGTGATGGATCAACTTTTACAGTCATTGATGGTACAGAAGACGAAGCAGATAGTAATGCTGGATTATTTAAACAACGATTTGATGCGATTGATCTTACAGATGAGGTAGATTCATACATAATTCATCAAATTTTCTACAAAAACTTCGAAGAAACGAGCAAAAATCTCGAAACTTTAAGGCAGCTTTCTCAGTTACTTTCTGTCAGATAGACTACCAGAGACTGCCTATGAAATTCTTAGCCCTTTTCACGTCTAAAAACTATCGAGTACCTCTTACTACTGTTAGATGTTACCTCATATATATGATTTCTTTGAGTTGAAAGACACCCTATTCTACTCATACTAAGGGATTCTCAAATAGTAATTGTTTGTTACATTTACGGATACAGGTGCAAAATCATTTTAAGAGTTATGAATTAATCTTGTAGAGACGCAAAAAATTAAGTTTAGATAAATAAAATCCACGATGTTTTGAAGCAATACTTTATATTACTGATCTTTTTTAACATCGAATTAAGGATGAGATTGTTCTGTACAAAGTGATAGAAAAATGAATAGTTTTAGAACAATTATTCAAGAATGGTCAAGCTCACTTTACAGATCTGTTTTCAATAGAAATCGAGAAAATTGCCTAAATTGACACGATGTTCCTCATTGAAAATATTCACTATTGACAAATGTAAACGAAGAGTTTACAAAATTTTTGAACCCCTATTCGAAAAGAATACAAAATTCTGATTCTACCATAATGCTTTCGAATTTCTACAGACTTCTTTAAGAGATTAAAAAGCTAATAAACATCATATCGAATTACTTCTTGATTATTCGTTAATTGACCAATAAACAGGACTCCAAAAAAAAGACGTCATAGATCAACTGTTTCTCGATGCTACTGGTAGACATATCTTTGAAATTTTCTGTTAAAGTTTTTATAATTCTGCAATAATAATTCTATCAGTGTTTTATCCAGAGGGGTGCCCGGGAGGCGGCGCTTCTCCCCCGAAAATCGAGTTCGCCCTCCCGAGACTTGTGATAATCGTGCTACGAAAACATGGCTTGCCCTCCCCCCCCCCCCCCCCCGAACATAATTATTCGCCCCCTCGGAAATTCAAATCGCCCCTCCGGAGAAAAAAATCCTGGATAAAACACTGAATTCTATGAAAGTAATATTCGATTCATCAAAAGAAAATACAACTTTATTTGTTCATACTTATGATAAACTAATTAGTTTATAATATTTCGTTCCAGTTTGCTTCTGAAGATGAGATTGAACCTGATACCAATGTATCTGCTCCAATACCTACAACAGCACCAACAACTACAACAAATAATCCAACTATTACATTAGCTGATCTTTCACAAGGTATAACTCGAACAAATCCACTATTTTCTACCTTAACTATTGGAGAATTACAAAAATTACTTCAACGTCCTAAAGAAATTCGACTTGTTTATGATTTTAATAATTTATCTCGTATGAATACAAATGAATCATCATCATCAACAACAACTTTTCTTCATTATGTTATTCAAATAGCAAATCAATGTTTAACATCTATTGCTGAACGACAATCACAAACTGAAATGAAAACATCAAAAAAAACTAATACAAAAAAACAACAAACATCACGATCAAAATGTTATTGTTCATGTTGTTCGTATCATCATCAACATCAACTTATTAATAAAGATCAAAAACGAACATCAACAAAAACTGCTAATTCACCAAATGCAGAAATTTGTGCTTTATTACAAATGCCACAAACAATACCAAATCAAGATTTTTCAAATGAAGATATATTAACAGTACAAACATCATTAAATAACAACAATACGAATACCATATCAGATGGAGATTTACATAATAAGTAAGTAGACATTGAAATAAGAATTTCTATGAAATATTTTGATGTATTTATTATAGACAATCTTTATTATCACAATGTGATGAACAAGTTGATATTTTTGATACTCTTTCTTGGCCATCAAATGCCGTAACAATGTCTATGGAACCATCTCAAGTTTCTTCTATTCAATCATCAACACAACCACCAATCACAACAACAACTAATACAACAACTGAACTTCCACCTTTATTAACATTATTACTTCCAATGATGAATGGAGTTGAGCCAACTCCTCAACCACCACCACCTCCTCAACCTAAGCCACCTGCTATTATATTTAGTAGTAATAATGGTATTATTGATGATCCATTAATTCAATCATTAGCTGCTGAACAAGCTGCATCAGCACATAATTATGATCTTTTATCCTATCGGCATAAACGAGTACGTAGTTTTTGTTTTTTTGGATGTTTTATTATACATATGTTTGATAGGTTCGACGTCCATTACGTTATGGTGATCAATCAACGCGTCCTTCAAATATTCAACTTTTACTTGGTCAATAAAAGCCCTTTGTTTAATATGCTTATTTTATTGATTATTTTTTAGATGCAAATATAAATGCTCAACAAAATGCAGCAGCAGCAGCGAATCAACGTTTAATGTTAAATACAAATAATAATGCTAATTTTCCGATATCCTCCGATAATCCATTTCAGAGTGATTGTGAAAATCCAAGTAAAAAATTCTTTCAATTTACATATTTCATTGAGTCATATTCTTCTTTTTTTTCATTTAGATGATCTTCTCAATGATAATACTAATATGAGTACTATTTCACTGAGCAGTATGATCTATTATTTGAAATTCATTTTCATTAAATATAATATTTTTTTTTCTATAGCGACAATCGTCAATGCTGCTTTGCAAAGCAATACTTCACGCATGTTACGTCTCGACTGGCCAGATAATGTATGTTTACTATGTTTAAATGCACTGTAACCTTAAGGCATGCGAAAGTCTTCATTGTCTGGGACGGTTTCAGCATGAGTCTCTTCTTCATCGATGTCTACAATTACAAATTTTTGAGAGAAAACTTGATTAGAACGGGGTACTCACTGAAGAGAATTTTACGTTAAATGGTTACAATTAACCGATGATATAAGTCACTTTCCGACGATTTTCATTAACTTTTATGTGGAGGTTATCAAAAAATATACTTCATAAATTAAACAAATTACAATCGTTTGACGTAGAATTTTTCTTGGTTATAGTGGTAACGCACTGAGCTATTGAACATGGGATCGAACGTCATGAGATGTGTTGTCTATGTTGAGATATTTTTGTCTGAAGAAAACATCTATGTTAACATTCTAGCTCCTCCGTATGAACTTTCTATGATTAGCAATATTTTTATTTTTATTTTTATCTGAATCAGTTGTTTTATTGTTTTTTAGATGTCTGATTTGTCGTTTGGTAGTTTTCCGGATTTACTCGAATCAAATATGTCATCTGGTGAATTAAACAATTTTGAACAGTCGACTATTAATGAACAAAATAAATGTGCAGTAAGTTTTGTCTTTCTTTTTTTCATTAATTAGCAAAATAATCTTTTTATTCTGCTCTTTTTTTTTTATCTAGTCTGGAAGTTCAATATCAGAAGCATTGTTTGCCATTAATAATACGACAAATTTATTACTTCAAAATTGACTTCGAACATTAATTTTTCTTAACACTTAAATTACTAGTCAAATATAGAAAGATTGATCACACCCATATATATATATACATACATTATGACTAAAGCTTTTCAATACTTTCTTTTGTTTTCTTGTAATGAACTTTAAAATGTTGATACGCACAGTTGGTCTATTCTTTACTATATCGTACTATCTTTCTTTTTTCACGTAATATGTATTTTTTTCTGCTATTATTATATACGGTCAATTTTCTTTTTCTCTTTTCTTTTTTGAAGTTAGTTTGCTATTTTTCCTTTTCGCTGAAGAAAAAATTAGAAGCAAAGATAAAAGAAAATTATTTTATGTTCGAATATAATTATATGAATAACAATGATGATAAAATACGATCTTGAGGTTTTAACACACGGTAAGTAACGAATGAAAATGACAATACAAACGAATGAATCTCTACAGATGTCCTGATTCAATTTTAATGATTTTTTTTTGTCTATTGCTACAAATACAGTAGCTTGTATAAAGAGTATCATCAAAATATGAACTTTTAGAAAAACGTCTGTTTTAGAAAAGTTCATAACTTGAAGACGCGAAGTTTAGAAAATTGTGAAACTTTTCATACAACTGCATATGAGACCTTTCTGTCGTATTAGTTATAAGATCAAATTTAAAAATACGATTCTTTTGATAATCTGACAAGTAGACGTATTAAAAGCTTCATAGCTCTGACAAATTTCAATAGGAGCTAAAATCCTTTTCAAGTTTTCACAAGAATATTATGTTGTAGACTACACATTATTGAAATTCGAAGAGATGATCTCGCAAGCAAAATTCAGTTACTTTGAAAAGAGTATTTCATTAAAATATGGTCATCTAAGATCTCAATCCTGAGAAAAAAATTCTAAGTGATATTTAAGTCAATTTGACTTTAGAAGTCTCGTACATTGTAGAACCAATTTAACCTTGTCGAGGCGATATGAGCGAAATAGATTATGCTAAACTTGCAAATATTGTCCAATGGAATATTTTTTTCTGATATTCTGTGTAATTAATAAGCTAAGTGAAAAATTTCGGATTTCTCTTTTTTTTCACATTGAAAATAATTTTTTCAATAAAAGTTTTACACATCTATACCAAAGATTAGTTCTTTAATTTAGGACGTTTGTAATTATCATAAGATAAAATCATATTGTTGTTTTTTTTCTTTCTTTCGACTTTTATTTGTCAATATATACATTGTCACATCTACGCTCATTTAACAACCATTATGAAATATTTAATCGTCTTTTTCAATTTAAATATGATTTTAGAAAATCATTGAACACGAACATTAGAAAAATAAAAATCAATGGACACATCAAAATGTCATTACATTCTTTCTAAATGCTTATATTTTTTTTCACTCTTATTCATATAACTTTGTTATTCGAATCAAGAAATATATATATATTAGAACATTTAAAATCTTCTAGCTTGTCCCATCAATTCAGTTTGAAATGATTTTTATCGTCGTGTAATATAAAATCATCTATGTGAGTATGACAATTTTTTTTAATAAAAAGAATATTTTTGAAACAAGTTATTTCGTTGACGTCATTATTATGCATTTGCTTATTCATTGATATAAATATTCTTTGATGTTTCCTGTTAATTAGTAAATTAAATCTCGTCGATTTATTGAAAAACTCTAATAAAGTAAAGTTTCCATTCCATAATGAATCTATGTGAATAGATACCTTAGCTACTTCTTTAGCTAATGATAACCACTTGTATGGTTCTTATACCTTTTTCATTAAATATCATATCGATTAATCATGTACATATACATGTAAATGTGTTAATCAGCAGGTCTACTCATTCTTAAGTACGATACAAATGAACATCAAATCGAATCGAATAATCTTCTGATCTAGATTTTAATAAATTATGAAAAGAAATCTATCATTCTACTCGATATGTAAATCATAGTTCACTGTTTTGGACTATATGCCATTCTGAACATTGATTCTTTCCATCAAACAATAACAAAATTAAGCATGTCAAAAATATACAGATCATTGAGCAAAGCATCATTCATATGAATTCCCGGATGGTTCCACCTATCTCAATGTGCGATATCATTGTTTTCCAACGATGATCAATTTACCTTGTCATGAACATGTAACACGCAAATTAAAAGTATGAATAGTCATTGCCAGTGTGAGTACGAACATTTAGTCATCGTTCATTGTATGTTAATGATCGAATCAGTATATAGACAGCAGTTTCATATTAATGATAAATGAATGAATAGTTCAATCAATAGCTTCTTTAAATGAATACAAGATCTCACAAAAATCAAGTACTTGCTTCTATTGACATAAACTTATTCTAGTATCAATTCTCGTTTGCAAAAAAATTCGTTGATGCAACACTTCTTTTTCTGAATGCATATTGTTCTCTTCCACTTATGCTGTTGTGATTCAATCAGCTTTTTTAACAAAAAAAGTCTCTAGATGATTATGTTATTTTAAATTGTTACTTCTCATTCTCATGCTTTCTAAATCATACTCATTTTACTTTAGACAAGAGTTTTATTTTCTTATCCTCTGGCATTATTATACATTTTCTAAGATCAACTAAGATGCCTATTGGGTAAATGTCCTTTATTTCTGAAGGCAAAAAAGAACATAGCAAAAACAAGATTATATTCGTGATGTCATTTAATTGATCAGTACTTATTATCGTCAATGATCCTAACCGGAACATTTTTCAATATTACACTTTTATCAAAAAAAAAATATGCATACATTGATTTTCAATTCACCTAAAATAAAATATTATGAGGTTTATATTCGAAAAACAAACGCATTAAACCAGTCATCATAGGAATTCTAAATTCAATCTTAATTTTCGTCAATACAACCTAGTCAATACCATGATTATTTCATTGGCTAATTGATAAATGAAAAGAAAATTAAACTAAATAGATAGACCAATTTTTTTCTTCCTTCTTTCTATTTCTTCTAATGATTGGTTAAATATGTTTCATATGTGTTCTTTACCCTTTATATAGGTGCGCTTCATTTTCAATATTCAACAGAAAACATTGTAAATTTAAATCATGAAATTCTGGTGTACAACAACGAAAAGTTCCAAACAACAAGTAAGTTATGCAGCTAATCTTAGTGCTGTATCGACTGTAAGGTGAGGCCATGACGACTGAGAAGGTTGAGTTGAGTAACAGAGTTCTGTTCAAGTTAACTAGATTTTGAGCATTAGTGAACAAAAGAAAACTTGAAAGAAGTTAACAATTTTGAAAGTGAGAGGGTCAACTCATTGCATCCAGAACATCACTGTACGAACACCACTCACTTTAAGAAGATTTTCCAGGAAAGATCGACTTTTCTGATGAGAAAAAAATCTTAAATACCTTCACCTTTTTTTCAACGGCACATCCTTGGTTAATCATGAAAGAATATTCATAAAACAATCATAGATACATTTGACTTGTATTGTAGAAATATCCGAATAAGAAAACAATGAAATCAAATGATTCATTATCATCATCTGCTTCTTATGCGACGATATCATCAATTTCAAACCGAAAATGTGACAGTGGTTTTTCGGAAACAACATCATTTATACAAACTTCTACATGTTTTGAACAAATTCTTATGCTTGAAAGAACATATCATGAAAATTTAAAACAATATATTATTAAATATTCTCGACCATTAAGACGTTATTTAAATCCTACTGAAATTGTTGATCTTTTTCAAAATATTGAAAAAGTAAATTTCAAACATACGAAAAAAAAAATAATCAGTTTCATATTTAAATATTTTCTTTTAGATTGCAGCCATATCACATTCAATGGTTCGTCATTGTGAAAAATTATGTGATGAAGATAACACTTCCAATATATCAATATCATTAATCTATCAATCATGTGTAAGATTTAATTCATTCAAGAAAAAAAAAAAAGTATTTGAAAGTTTTTATTCTTAGTTTGATGTTATGATCGATTCATATAATACATACATATCTCGAAGTATAAATGTTCAAGCTATATTAAAACAATATTGTCATAAAATTGCATATTTTCTTCAAGTAAGTATTTAAAAGAAATCTCTGTATTGAGTAATCTATAAGATATGTTTTTGTACTTTTTAGACTCCAATTGACTTAGTTATACACGAAATAATCGAATTTATTCTACTACCTATTCGATATATTTGTACGTTAAATGATTTATTTGAATTATTTGTTATCAATTATTCAGATTTAATGAATAGTATAGATTGGAATATAATTCAAAGTAAGATTATATAGATAAAAATTAAATTTTAATGATCGATTTGGTTTAGATATAAGATGTTTATCCAAACAAGCGAATAATATTCTCTATTTATTATGTCATGATGAAATATCAATATTAGAATCATCACAAAATCTAACATTACAATCTGATATATCATCAATTATTGTTCTACAACGTACAAATAAAGAACCATGGGAAACAGTAAATTGAAACATTTATGTCTTTGAATTTTTAATGATAAAATACAAATTTTTTCGTTTTAGAAAGAAATTGAATTGTTTGATTCAAAATTATCATTTACAAAAACGAATCAAAAGTCAAGTATTTGTTTATCAAATGTTATTCAAATAGAAGAAGATTTGTCCAATGCAGAAATATGTTTAATAGTGGCGTCAACATATTCACGATATTCATCAATTGAAATGATACGTGTATATATACGTTTTCAAAATAAAAATCATTATCTTATATGGTTAGAACATTTAACAAATGCTATTGGAAAAGCAAAAGATCGTAATTGGACAGAGAACCATGAAGTTGTAATTTAATAAGAATTTTGTTTTGTGTACGTTTGTTTGATTTATATTTGATTTTTAATTACAAAAATAAATGAACTTTAAATAGAAGTACTTGATTTGAGATATACTCTTCTTTGGACAAGTGATTTCGAATTTTAAAAAGTTTAAAGTATCATAATCATGTGAGTAGGACAGTGATGTATTCATAAATAATGCGCTGCATCGGATAGTCAAATCTAACTGTAGACGAGTCGGACTTTGAAAAACAAATGTTTTAGAGGTAATGACGAATCATATGAAATATATTTACACTCATATATTAGCAACTTTTGTCTTTATATAGATTTGTAGAAAGCTTTCGGAAGCAAAGCCATCAACAACATATTTTCGTTAGGGGAAAGTACAAAGAAGAAATATATAGACTAGTGACAAAAAAAAAGTTCGCAGTCAAATAGTTTGAAATTATGCGATTCTATAGCGGAAATAGTATCGATCACTGTGAAAAGCAATTTTTAGTTTGGTCAGACGTAATACATAAGAACGATGGAAATGAAAAATGGACTTCGTTTTGGCTTTTGTGACCGTTGTCTATCTTATAAGAAGTAGCATTATGAAATCTTGAGTCAATCATAGCTTTTACGACAGTATTCGAGATTTATCTATCCTAAAGCTTTGGAAATATCTTGTCGTAGTTATTCTTGAGAAATATACAAAACGAGTGAGGTAATCTTAAAGGAAATTGTATATATTAGTTAGAAATAGAAAAAATTGTTTGTTCTTTAGTAAACTCATTTAAGCATAAGATTGGATGAAGTTACAACATTTTCTGGTTTGAACAATAATGATTTAGTGATTTTTTTCAAGTAAGACATGAGACAAGTTGGCTGTTTTTAAAATCTATAGGGTTCATTTATAGACTTAAAAGCAACTGTAAATAATGCAGATTGAATATTCTATGAGATAAATCATTAGATGAAAAAAAAAAAAGATTTCATAATGGATTCTTTTGTAACTTTTTGAAACAATTGTTTATGGATATTTTTAGAGAAGTCTTCATTAGAAAGAAAAAACAAAGCAATTATGGTATGTTAAATGAAAGCGTTTCCTTTTGTAAGACTTCTATTGAAAACGATCCTATTGAAAGAAAGGCATTCATTAGTATTACTTCTTTACATATAATCATATTCCACACGACAAACCTTGACGTTTTCTATAGATATTTATAGATCACTAATTACCATTGATGAACAATTTATAATCATAAAATAACGAGGGAAGTCTTCATCAGAATACAAAACACGCTCTAGATATTTTAGCCGAGATAGTATTGAATGTAAATGAAGCGATACACTCAGGAATGATCTGACCAGGGAGATATGTAACATTCTTCAATCAAGAAAAAATGTTTTCCAGTTGCGTTGAAAATTTTTCGCATGTTCTTCTAGAAAAAAAAAATCTTTAATTTTTCTCCTAAAATACCCTACATTCTCTCTACAATACTGGATGCCTGGAGTCAGTCTAGTTACATGTCTTTGAAATGAATACAGTGTTATAAATATATTCTTTTACTCTGACTCAGGCATATTCGACTTCAAGACACTAGTGCCATCTATTCAACTAATAAATAAAGTATTTCATTAATAAATATTCTTAAATTTAAAATATTCTTATATTTAACTAATTTGTATGATTTAAATTTTCTTAGAAAAATAAATGCTATATTGATATTTGTTCTCCAATAATAATCGATCGAAATTGTTTACAATTTTTTATTTTTTTTTTTCTTCTATATAAGTTATCATTCGTTTTAAATAGGTTTTTTTGTTGGTACAAGTAAATGATCTTTCTCAGTTTTTTTTTGTTCGCCAATTTTAGATCATCAAACGAAAACAAAGATGACGTCTGGTTATTCAGTACTTCAAATGAAAGAAGATGATGTGCTTAAAATCCTTGCAGCACAACTACATATTGGTTCAAAAGATGTTGATTATCAAATGGATACATATGTATGGAAGAAAAAACCAAGAAATGAAGGTTCATCTGTAATCAACATCCGTAAATTTTGGGAAAAACTCATGCTTGCTGCTCGAGCTATTGTTGCTGTTGAAAATCCAGCTGATGTTTGTGCCATTTCATGTCAACCTCAAGGTAAAGAAATTTTTATTTTTTTTTTGAATTTATTTTTTAATATTTGTAATCAATTAGGTCAACGTGCTGTTTTGAAATTTGCCAAATATACAGGTGCTACAGCCATTGGTAAGTAAAAAACTATCTATAAAAATTTATGTAAATAAATAAAGTAATTTTTCTTATTTTAAATAGCTGGTCGTTTTACACCTGGTTCATTTACAAATCAAATTCAGGCTGCATTCAAAGAACCACGTCTTATTATTATTACAAATCCACATGTTGATCATCAAGCTGTTAGTGAAGCTTCATTTGTCAATATTCCTGTCATTGCTTTTTGTGACCCATCAACACCACTTCGATACATTGATATTGCTATTCCATGTAATAACAAGGTAGAATTTCAATTTATGAAATCAATATTTTAGAAAAATCTTTTTTTGTTTTCACCCTAGGCTAACAAATCAATTGGTCTTATGTGGTGGTTTTTAACGCGTGAAGTACTTCGATTGCGTGGAGCAATAAATCGTCAAGCTCCATGGGATGTTATGGTTGATTTATTTTTCTATCGTGATCCAGAAGAAGTAATAATCTAGATCAAAAACGTTTTTGTAAAATTATTTTGCTGTCGTGTTTTTTTTTTTTTTAAAGACCGAAAAAGAAGATCAAGTCGGTACTACTGGTCAAGATCGTGATGCACAACAACATGCACCAGATTCAAATTTTTATGATGATGGTCCATCAATGATGCCTGCTTCCGAAAGTTTTGCAGGAAATCAAGATAATTGGGGTGCATCTGCAACTGATAATTGGGCTGGAACAACTGGAGGAGCTGGTGTTGAATCAAGCGATTGGAATGCACCCGCTGCTGTTCCGACTACTTCAAGTGGCTGGTGATTCAGTTAAAGCATTGTTGTTTTTCTAAGTATCATCAAGCCTAATACAAGAATAAAAATTATATTACTACAAATACAGAACAACATCAACAATAGCAGTAGTAATACACTGTTGTATCATTAGGCTCAAATTTAATAAAAAAAAAAAAAAAGAAACGAAGAAATAATTGAAATATATATCATATGTCTTTTTTGTTTGCATTCGTTGAATTACTTTTATTGGGTTTGAATGGAAATTCAAAGTAGGAATATATATATATGTCAGGTAAAGTTGAGATTTAGATGAAATTAAACAGAAATTTTACAAATGAAAAAAATGAGAATAAAGAACTGATCTTATATATATATATATGAAGTTATATTCAACATTAATTGAAATCTAGTTTTTCTTAGCAAATAACGAGTAAAAAAGTCTAAGTAGCATTTGCTTTTTTTTATTTTCAAATTTAATTTGGCTCATTGATAGATTCCATTGAATCGAAAATTTTCGAACTTGAGCGAATCATTCTTTAACATTCTTCAAAAAAATTTTCTAATCGGAATCGAATAGTTATTCCGAAGATACAAGTTATTTTTTTTCTGGTTATATTGTATTCGGTGACTAGCGCACTCTACACATTTTTTCAGACGAATAGAACCCTCCGCGACCAGAACAATTTTTTTTCATTGGGAGTGGTATCTGTTATGGTCGTGTAAAAGTTGAGTCAAATGTCATATTCTCATGGTTTATGTGTTTTATATGTTTACTTGTAAATTATTGGGTAACGCCCACTTCAATATTTGCTGTTACAATTTTGAAAGTAAAATTAATGATTTGTTTTTTTTTTGTAAACAACAGAGTTTTCAGACACCTAAACCTACAGAATAGACGAAGTAATGAATTTCCACAAGGGTACTCCAGAAATTAAAAAACTTGATTCACTTGTTTGTAAACAATACTCTAGAAAATCATTTTCCAATGTCGACATCGAAGAAGTCATTGAGTACAGATATTATAATATGAATAGATGAAAATGTATATTTTGTCTAGTTACCAAAAAAAAAGAACCAAGTATATGCTATATATTTGCTTAATGTGAGCAAAAATTATTTCATAGTTTTTCATCTAATTAAAAACAAATTCTGTGTAAGTTTAATTTAATCTAAAGTTCAATTTTGTCTAGAACTTCTCTGTATGCAATAGCTCGAAAATTATTCGACTAGATTTACTTTCAATAGTGTTCTACTTTCGTAAAGATTAAATAGTTATTTGAAAAGAGAATTTTATTTCTAACGAAATTTTTGCGAAAATAAAAATGATAAATACTTTATTATGGATAGAATTTGGGCAAAAACTACAAACTTAAATATTTCATTTATTAGCATTTGCAAATAGAATTCTATTTAATTTATTTCGAATGATAAGCCAAGGAACTTTCAGCGAAATAAAATATTTTCGAGCTTTCTTCAATGTTTTCAATACGAAATGACAGCAAAACAAAACGAATTTTTGCAGTTTATGTTAAGATTGATATATTTCAATTGAACAACGCCGTAGAGAATGATTTAGTTTTCTAGCTAATTTAAATAGAATTCTATTTGCAAACTAAGAAAGATGATAATTTGGATTGTGGTTTTTCAGAGATCTTATCTTTGGGAAATAAAATTCTCTATTTAGATCATGACTTAAATTTATCTTAGCATTTATAGAAGCGAAAAACAAAATATCGAAAATAAATAAAATTGTATTATTTTTGGAGCCACTATATATTAGAGGTCGTATGTTTGAACTTGGTGACTCATTTGTATGTAGACGAAAGAATATCATACAAAGAAAAATAAGAAAGAAAGATAGAGGGTAAGGAAGACGAAATGAAATGCAGATGTTTGATGAGGAGACTGTCTAGAGAGAGGCAGGAGCGAAGACGGGCGTAAGCACGAATGAATCTTTCCGTTCTTTTGTTTTCATTTGCTATTGCCACAAAGTCTATATACTTGCATGTGTTGCCACGACAAGTAACATCAGAAACTAAAATAAATGTCAACATATCATGATGGAAGAAATAAACCATTATTGAAAATATTAATCGTCAAAAAATAATGGAAATAAAACAACATATTGTTCTTTGTTTTTTTTTTATTTATTGTAGATAATTAATATCTTATTCCACTCGAAATGCTTATTACTGAATTTCGAATTATTTTACCAATGACGGTTGAAGAATATCAAGTTGCACAATTATATGCAACAGTTCAAGTATCTAAACAAAATACCGGTGGTGGTGAAGGTGTAGAAATTCTTGCTAATCAACCATTCGAGAAACCAATGTCAGAAGCATTTCTTGGCAAATATAATACTGGTCAATATACAAATAAAATTTATCATCTTGGTTCACGTGTACCAAGTTGGGTTCGTTATTTATTTTCTGATTCAACTTTATCAATGCATGAAGAAGCATGGAATGCTTATCCATATTGTAAAACAGTTCTTAAAAATTCATATATGAAAGAGAATATGCTTATTGATATATCAACATTACATTTACCTGATCGTGGTGATTCTGAAAATGTCCATCAATTAACCGGTGATGATCTTAAGAAACGTCATGTTGTTTATATAAATATTGCTGACAAAGTAAGCCGAGCAGATTATAAACATGAAGATGATCCTGAAAAATTTAAATCAACTAAAACTGGTCGTGGTCCATTATTATCAAGTGAACCATGGTATGAAACTTGTGAACCACATATGTAAGTTTTTATTTTGATATATCATAGAGAATGATATTTTATTTATAATTATTATTAATTTTTTTTTTCATTTTGTTTTAGGTGTTGTTATAAATTAGTTCGTGAAAAATTTAAATGGTTTGGTCTTCAAACACGTGTTGAAAATTTAATTATGAGTCAAGAAGAACGTTTATTTCGTAATTTTCATCGACAATTATTTTGTTGGACAGATCAATGGTATGGTTTAACAATGCAAGATATTCGAGCACTTGAAGCAAAGACTGCTAAAGAACTTGATCACGAAAGAATAGCTGGTGAAAAAAAAGGTTTTACAACTGAAGAATAAAGGTCAATAAAAATATGGTTAGATTTTATTGATATAATGGCTTCTTCTTTATTTTTTTTGATGTTTCATATTTATAGGACATGAATTATTATGGCAATGTTCTTTAAGAATTCTTCAACATTCAAGCATTATTTTGTTTTCTTTAGGTATTTTTAATCGTTTATTTTGTGTTTATGTATGGCTTTTTTTTTTTTCTTTTCTTTCTATTAAACTAGAAGATCATTTTCTTTTGCTTTATTCCATTTTTCTTTCCTTTTGTTTTGTGTGCGTGTGTGCGTGCGTGTATAAAAAATATCTACAAAAGAATATCAGCAGTGCAAATATGTGGAATGGAATGAGAATATTTTATTTGAAAAGATATGCATACAAAAGTTCTTTTTTTTGTTTTTTTTTTGATTGTTTGTATAATGCAAAGCTTTAAATAATAAAAGTTGCTCTATTCTATAATACTTTAATTCAGAAGATGTTATTAATGTCGAATAATTAGACTTTAAAGATTTTTCTTTTTTTTTTTTTTTGAAAGTAGCTCTATTTTGTTACGAATATGTTATTATAAAGATAAGTCTTATCTTTAGTTGATATTTTATTGTCTATTTGTTGATAAAGATAAGAGTAGTAACCTGTGAATTAGCAGAAAAGAAAATGTTGTCAACGTAGATGTTCTCTTTTTTTTTCTAACAGATACTTCTATCTGTTACGCATTGTCTTTCTACGCATCATAATACATTAAAATTAATATTTTGAGTTTGTTTTAGTTATGAAGATATACGCATCGGTTTCAGTGTAATATGATTTAAAGTAGTGAATGACATATCGATTGTTTATTTTTTTCAGAAATTTTTGAAAATATGAATGCTATTTATTTTTCGTGCCGAAACGCCGTGCATCTTGTAGGCCTTAGTGAACTATTTCTATAATAAAAAGAGTTTATGACTATGATTTGTTTCTGACGAGGAAACTATTCCAGGCAACCTCTGCTGTTTGAACTTATAATAGTCTTCGAAGAAGATTTCGATTAGATTTGTAAAAGTTTATACATGTTCGTCGCCATGGAATTTTGACGCAGAATTTAGATCAGTTTATCGGATTTTCTATTCATTTGTACGTAGTTCTCGAAAATACAAATCAATTAGATTATTTTTCATTAAAAATTTCAGTCTTTGGATGAAATCTTTCCAAGATATGTAGCTTTTAACAAAACTCATGCTCTATATACAATCTATAGGAGAAAAGTTTGTACTCACAAAGTTTTATATCTCGAAAGCATCTAATTCGAAACTTCTGAGGCAAAATTTCAAGACGAAATTCAATAAAAAACTTGGATGTTCTCAGAAATAAGCTGTGGATACGAAATCTTTGTATGGTAGACACATAATTCACTAATATCTACAAGTGTATGAAGTTCTGACTTAAAAGCGAAGGAACACCGAAGATTGTTGCTTCGTAAGTCAGAAAACAAGTTGGCATATCTACAAATTTTTTGACTAACAATTCGTTAATATAAAATTATTTATACATTTCAAATAGCATTAAATTGAAAAAAATGCTCTGAAGCCATGTTTTTCTCCTCAATCCACTTGAATTCAAAAGAAAAATTTTCTTCTGACTAGCAAATCGAAAACATCGATGAGTTTATCAGAAGAATAGCTCTACAAATACTTAACGATTTTTCTCTTTGCACTAATACATAGTGTGTTAATTATTTGATGATTACTTTTATTATTGGTTTAGAATCAGCTGTTCTTACAGTTGAATCTATGATTATTTTCATTGTCAATTATTTGAAAAATTTGAAAAAGATTAAACTTCATAAAAATTTGTCATTTCGTAAAGCAAATTATCAGTAAACGAAGTTTATTTTGAACATCAAAATAATAAATATATCATTTGTGATCATAAAACTTTCTGATTTTATTTTAATAGCATATTGTATCATATTCTGTTAATAAAAAATTGGAATTCAATTGGAGATACATTCTGAATAGAAAAACTATTTTTTTTTTGTCATTCAATTTCATCTTTTTGTTTAGCAAAACAATATACAACTGAAATGACTTTAGTCTATTCAAACATATCGTTGCAAAAACCGCGTTTTGAATGACATTGTAGAGAACCAAAAATTCGCATTTTTGGAGTGAGAATGAAAAGAGCAACCTTACTCTCTCATATCCTCAACAAAATATTACAATTTCATTTGAGATATTAATATCCTTCTCTAATTGTTTATAATAAAATGATTCAATATTATCTGTTGTAACTGTTTTTGAATTCAATTCAAACAATTTTCTTTTTGTTAGATTAGCACGGGTACATTCATAATTCTACTTCTTATCAGCAAGGTCGCTATAATTATAATTTTTCTATTGTTTTTTTCTCATTCCACTTTTAGTAAGACACGTGATTGTATGAATCTATCTCTAATTGAAGTTCAATATCGCTCTTCAATCCAAGTTTCTGTTCATAAAAAAGAACATGTAAAATATGTTTAAGACTGAACTACTTCATTATATATGACTTAAGACTCTATTCTCATTTATATTAATGAAAAATATGACTTGTTTATTGTAAATAATATTATTTTCCCCTATTTTGTATTCGAGATTAATCAAAAAACAGCCGGCAATCAATTGCTATGAGTAAGCAAATATTTAACGTAATATATTAGTTTATTTCGATTAAGAAGAACAGTATTACATATTCAAACAATTAAAGATGCAAAAGTAAATGATGAGTATACAGAAGAAACTGGTCTAGGCTTTATATTTCTGCATCTTCGTTTGTTTTTTTTCAAAGACATCAACAAATGATGACAAAAATTAAGATTTGAAGTATTGTAAATTTTCACACAACTTAAAAGAATAAAGTAATAGTAATATGAACTGTATATCTACTGCTATGTTCGATAGATAGATTAAGCTTCCGATTGTTTTTGTATGATATGATTTTACTGCATTAACAACAGTCACTACACTGATTATTCAGTAACTATCAAATTGGTTGTATTCTTAAAAGATAATTCATTACATAAAAAAAAAAGAGAAAAAGTACTTTTGAACATCAATGTTTTTCGAATAGTGATTTTACATGATCTCGTCTTGAGCATTCTTACACGATACACACAAATGCTCATGGCATATTCAACACTATATTTTTAGGAAACCAAATAGATTAATGTATGATCCAAGTAATTAGTGAATAGAGTACGTATATCTGTAGAAAGGCTACATTTCCAAATGAAAAAATGCTTCTTCTCGAGATCAACGACAACCTATAAACTAAATGATCTAACTGAGAGAGTACATCAAAATATGTAAATGCCTTCACGTTCTCGATCTGGAGAAGTACCAAAATATTTGATTTCCTACATTTTGATCTGATTGGCAGTAGAGAACATTATAGAATCAGGATGAGAAAATAACAGTCTAATCTTCAAATATCAATATTTATAGTTTGCTCCGGAAGTTTGACAAACAATAATAACCATCATGAGTAAGATGTCATATCACACATTTAATGTTCTATCAGACAAAAATGAGTTCCGATTTTTAACAAGACTAGTATTATAATGAAAATAAATGCATGTTTATATTCACTAGAGATTGAATAACATGTTTGATCAACACTTTTTTTTTTGAAAGCTTTCTCATTCATAAATTATTTATATTTCATAAAGAATTCGTGATTGATTTAATTGTTACATTATTACGAGAAGATCTTTTTGTTCGATGCAGTCTATTTAAAAGTTTTCAATAGATTATATATTATACTTGATTTTACGAGAATAGATCATTGATCGTAATTGATCGATCAAATTTATGTTAAGAATGCACACTTTAGAGAAACACTTGTCATTGTCATTCACATTATTCGATTGTTTCGTTAGATGCTTATCATCATCTATTTCGACGATTAATGTTAAATGGTTTGAAGAGAAGAAAAACAAATGATCGAGTCAAAAGACTCATTCTTCATGATTACATTATAAGTCATTGATTCACAATTTCTAGCTGTTTGTTTCTTTGTTCTTGAAATTATCACAAGTATAAGTATTCAAAAGCTTTTAGAAAAAAAAAATGATAGTCACACATACAAATAGAACGCAATATTAAACAAAATGTACAGTATGATACCTTATTTATTGAAAAGAAAAAGAATAAGATTAATTATTGCTGTCACTATTATCTTATTTCTTCATAGAATAAACCAGTCAAAAAGCTAATTGTTCATAACTATAACAATAGATGTGAGATGAAGAATATGCTTTTTTTTCTCTATTCGACATGAGAATAAAATAATAAATGTATACCGTTCACGAAAAAAAGCTAAAATGAAGGATTATATAGATATGTATTGTTGCCTCTTAGGCCATTTCTTTCCGTTCGTCCCTTATCACATTTCCTTAGTGTGTGGTTGATTGCATATGTTTAATGCTACGCACATTCCATTGACGCCGTTACTATAGTTGTCATCATCGTTTCTTTTTACTCATATCCGTATGGTCAATCGCAATAAAGGTGCTTCGTCTTTCATTAGCTGCAAGGAAGAGAGAAAGAGAGAGAGAGAGAGAGAGAGAGAGAGAGAATCTTTGTTATGATGAATGATGTCTCATCAGTAGTCATCGTTTTTTTTCTTCTTAATCATTAGAATGAGATTACACCAAGTGCAATCAGTTAGAATAAGAAGAATTGTCTTTGCATATACTTAAATGTACATAATAATAAACTGATTAAACAAATGAGAGGTAATACGATTATCTAATGTTGTCTCGTCTATTCAACTAATGGTTCATTAGTATGAACTATCTCTGTTTCCTAATCTCTCTTCTAAATAGTATATATCAAATTGATATTGAGCAATAAAAAGAAAAAAGAAGGAATTCAAATCTATGGAGACTCCTAATATAAAACACGAAATATGCGAGTAACGTTTATAGTTATAAATTGTAATGAATTGTATTCTATTCATCATTATAGCGTGTTTCTTTCTCATGAGTCCTGATC